AGACTCGGTGGTGCTCTCATCTTTGCGCGTCCCCCCTGGACCCAACACTTCTACATCCCTTTATTTGTTTCTAGGAATTAGCCTTGTTTTCAATATTATCTCATTAAAAAAATGGTTCAATACTATGGAGAGGGATAGCATCAATTTGACAAAATTATCTGAAAGAATTTGTGTTGTTGAATTTAACTACAGGAATCTGTTGAAAAGTTATGATATGTCTAAAGATGAGACATTATCTTTACTGGACAAGTTTCATACCTTAGAATCCTCAGTGAGGACATTAGAACAGAACACTGGACAGGAGATTCAGACTTTTAAAAAGGCAGTAGTAAAAATAATTGAAAAGATTGAGGAATTTATTGAAATTGATGAGCAGGGACAGAGGTATAAGGACAGGATTTAGCTTTATCAGTATGTGCCAGACCCAGGGATGACTTACAGAGTTTCAACTACATATTCGGTAATTTCCTCAGAAAGACCATCTGGCACAAAGTACCCTAAGGTAGCCAAAGAATATGCGTAGAAACTAATATGTATGAGAGAAATAAAACAAGCGATTTTTTTTTATGGGCTATATTCAACATTTGTCAGGGAAATGGTGAAAACGTGGGCTTCAAGCACGAAGGCAACCCCAAACAATTGGCTTCAATTAATCTCAGTGGTCCTAGAAAGTGGACCTCAGCAGCTTTGGGAGTGTTATTGGAGAGAAGAGGCAAAAAACTTTAGAGCAACAGGGGAAAGCAAAAGGATTTGAGACTTCCCAAGATCAAATTCTTGGTGAGGGTCATTACTCTGATCCTCAGGAACAGGCTCACTATGATAAATGCACCTTGTTCCTATGCAGCTTTAAATGCTTGGGGCAAAATTCAGGAACAAGGAAAGAGGATTGAGTCATATGTTAGGATTAAACAGGGCCAGAGAGAACCCTTTACTGACCTCTTACAAAGATTAACTAAGGCTGTACAATTAGGAGTGACAGACCCTGAAGCTAGACTAATTGAATCCTTGGCTTTTGAAAATGCCAACTTAGAATGTAAGAAGCTCCTTGGGCCTTTAAAGGTTAGATCAGCACCCACAAATGAATGGATCTTGCATACAGTGAATGTTGAAACATTTGACTACAGTACTGAAGCTTGGGTAGGACAAGTGATTTCCAATGGTATGAGGAGACACCAAAATGCCAAATGTTTTAACTGTGGAAGAATAGGACATCTAAGAAGGTACTGTCGACAAGTAATTCCTAGGAAAAATGTCTCCTCTAGGAATGGTAAGAATAGGAGAACTCAGCCTTCTGGTATATGTAGTAGGTGGAGCAAATTTTGACATTGGACTAATGAATGCAGATCAACAAGAGACAAACAAGGCAACCCAATACCACCAGGAAACTCCTTGGGGGGGGGGGCCTCTCGCAGGCCCTGATATCAAACAAGGTCCCGTCATTCCCAGTCACTGTGAAGAACATGTCTCACCAGGAAAATTAAACAATCCAGTGTGTACTGTTAAAAAAAAAAATACTGTTCTGGATAATGGAATGGACTTGGAGGATGAGTCAAAAAACTCTAGTAAGAAATAGGAAACATATATACTGGAAAACTTATATAAATGATCAAAGACCAAAGCTAAGAGTATGTATTAATGACACTGCACAGGTACAGAAGTGACTATCATTCCTCCAAAATCTTGGCATCCAGATTGGCCTCTTCAAGAGGCAGATATTCAATTCCTAGGAACTGGAACCCTATCTCAAGGAAAACAAAGCACAAGATAGGTTGAACGCATAAGTCCAGAAGGACAGAAAGGAAGGCTGAGGCCACATGAAGCTAATATTACAGTAAATTTATGGGGTTGTGACCTATTGCAGCAACGGAATACCCAGGTTAACATTCCTGCAGCCCCCAAAACTCATGTTTCAGAGAAGAATATTATAAGATGATGATGATGATGATAATAATAATAATAATAATAATAATAATAAAGGTCACCAGCCATTTAGGCTGTACAAGAACGCAAAACAAGTAGTTTTGGCCTTGCCTTTAAAATGGTCAAATGAGAAACCTATATGGGTTAAACAATGGCCTTTAAAGGAAGACAAACTGTAGGCTTTAGAAAGGCTGATCCAGAAGCAACTAGATGCTCATCATATTGAAGAATTAACCTGTCCTTGGAATTCCCCTGTACTTGTTGTTAAAAAGAAATCTGGAAAATGGAGAATGGTGGCAGACCTAAGAGCTGTCAACAAGGTAATTCAGCCTACGGGCCCTCTACAATCTGAAATTACTTTGCCTTCCCTCTTACCTAAATGATGGCCTCTTATAGTTATTGATTTAAAAGACTGCTTTTCACTACACCTTTACAAGAAAAGGACAGAGAAAAATTTGCCTTTACAGTGTCTACTTATAATAATTCTCAGCCTATTAGGAGATATCTATGGACCATCCTTCCATAGGGAATGCTCAATAGCCCCACCTTGTGGCAATCTTTTGTGAATCACTCATTGGAAATAATATGTAAACAATTTCATAAATCTACAATTTATTATTACATGGATTACATTTTACTACCTGATTCAAATGTAGATACTTTAGAAAGAATGTTTGAAGAAGTAAAGAAAATTTTTGCCTAAATGGGGATTAGAAATTTCTTCTGAAAAAATACAAAGAGGAAATGCTGTCAATTCCCCAGGTTATCAAATAGGTTTACAGAAAATTAGAACACACACAGGTCTGCCAGGTTGTCTAGCACAAGGTAATGCAGAAATTGACCCATTACTGATTGGAAGTGTGCTAAAGGCCTCAGAATTTCATAAAAATCATCGTATCAATAGCAAAATTTTAAAGAAAGTTTTCTATTACATGGCA